ATCCGTCCCTGCAAGAGCAGAGGAGGTGGTGCGGTGTCGTGGAGAAGAACGCGGGCTCTGGCGTCAGACCACTGCAGTCACTCTTGGCTCTGCCAATTAGCAGCTTTGTAATCCTGGGCCAGTGACTCGGCTTTTTTTGAGCCTCAGTTCTCTCTCCTGTGAAATAGGGGTTAAAAAGTACCTGCTGTGTGGCATTGTGGTAAAGCTAAAAGGAAATAATGAATGCAGGGGCAAAGCCTGGCACATAGTAAGTGGTCAATAAGTATTACCTATTATTATTATTGTTATTGTGGTTGTTACTGTCACTGCAGACAGTCCAGGGAAGACAAAGGTAGATAAGCAATCATGGATGGCTTCCAGGCAGAAGCATAATATTAGACATGGAGGTAGATACAAGGGCCAAGAAAATTGTCCCTGCTCTCTAGGACCTCACAACTAGGTTAGGAAAGGGGGGAAAAATCAGGAGCAGGCAAATAATAATGCCAACAATTAGAAAGGGGTCTCCTATCAAAGATGTTTCAAGGAGGCATCAACACACAGGTGCACAGTGTAGGCACTGGCATGAGCTCCACGGGGTCAGACGGGAACTCATCAGCAGAGAATAGAGCCCCAGGAGATGCTCGAGTGAACACATATATACATATACAGGTTCGAATGTTCAGAGTGTGGACATTTGTTACAGACAGATGTGATTTGAGAAGTGTCTTGCCAAATTCTCACGGGGAAGACATGCCATGAAGTTAGCCTGGCTTAGAATTCAGGTCTGTCTGATGCCAAAGCTCCCAATCTATCTGTGACATCCCACTGCCTTCACTGATTTCTGCCTACATCTCCACGGTTCTGAAGCATAGTGGGTGGAGAGGTTGGAAGGATAGGTGGATGGCATATGGCGGGTGGATGGAGGAGAGAGGGTAGATGGTGCTTGAATGGATGATGGGGGATAAAGAGAAGGATGGTGGGAGGAAGAAGAGGTGGGTGGTGGCCAGATGTGCCGTGATTGGATGGGTGGCTGATGGCTACAGGAAAGGTAGGGAGATGAATGGATGGGGGGATGGAGGAATGACAGATAGATGGACAAAGACACAGACTTGCTTTATACATAAAAGCTCAGGAGATGTACCCTATATAATGAAGTTTTAGAATATAGGTGAGGTTCAGTGGGGTGGAATCCGGAGCCGACGACCAAGAAAGAATTCTTTAGACATCTTTGGTGCAAAATGGTGGTTTATTAAAGCATGGGAACAGGACCCGTGGACAGAAAGAGCCACTGCCCGGGGTTGTGAGGGGTGGCAGGTTATGTACGATGGTGTTGGGGGGTAAGGAAAAAGGGAGGTTTCAATAAAACTTTCGTATGCTAAAGATCTGCAGAATACCAGATACCAGAGGCCTTGCCATTATCAAGGTCGTTTTTTTCCCTTCTTAGCAAGGTATTAACATTAAGATAGTTGGGAGATTCCTAAGGAATGTCAAATATGTCCCACCCAGGAGTGGGGGTGGGGGAAGGTTGCGCACAGTGTCAGCTTGGGTTGTCAGGGTTGTCAGCTCGGCCAACCTTCTGTTCCCTCATCATATAGATGAGACACTAGCCTGGAGTGAAGTTCAGATGACAGAGCAACAAGGTATAGTCAGGTACTTAAGAGCTCGGTTACTCTTTGTCAACATAACGATTCCATGGTAGTTCGTAAGTCCTATAACTGAGTACTTACTATGTGCCAGAGCCTGTGCTAAGCTCTTGAGAGGGATTATGTCACAAAAATGCTGAGGTCGTTGCTATCATACTCCTACAGAATTGGGAGTTCGGAGGTACGTCTCTAGGTTGCACAGCAAGTAAACAAGTTGGCAGAATCAGGACTCGGACTCAGGCTGTTAAAAACCCCAAACTCCTGTGCTTACCCACTGTGATGGACCTTCTTCTCAGAAGAAGCATCAGAGCACCAGCTAAGGGTTACGACATTTTCCCAGGGAAGAATACACCAGGGCTGAGTCTGAAAAGCCAGGAGAAGGAAGGGCTGTCGAGGCAGAAAGTGCAGAAGGCCCAGCACCAAGGAGCCATGACAAATCCCACCCCACGGGAGAGGGAAGCAGGAAAAGAGATGAGGCTGGAGATGTAGGCTGGGACCACGTCAAGGCGGGCCTCAAGTGCCATATCTAGAATAATTAATAGTAATATTAATAGCAGAGTACTATGAGTCAAGCATTCTACTAAGTACCTTCCTTGTATTAGCTCATCTGATCTTCTTAAATATGTGAGCTCAGTTGCTACTCTTTGCCCAATCTGCAGCTGAACATCTGAAAGACTGAGTCACTGAGCTGTGTGAAGGTCACACAGCTGAGAAGTGGCAGAACCAAGCCTCGAACCCACATCTCTCTGACTCCATGATCCGTGTCTTAACCATGATGCTGGACTGCCCTGTGTGAGCTTGAATTTAATCCATTCCACAAGGGTTTGGGCTTCCTCCTGTCCAATGGGAAGCCATTGGAAATTTTGGAACAGGGAATAACCTGATAAAACACATGTCTTTGAAATGTCCCCAACAATGCAAGTTGGACAGAGAAAGACAAAACTGGCCTCTACTGTAAGCCCACCTTTGATTGGCCTCTCCTAAGTGCCTCATTCTGCCTAGACAACTTGGAGCTCACCTCCCAGCCCCTGGACCCCATTCATTGGGTCAGAGGCCAAAACAACAGCTTCTCTATGGGCCCGTAAGCAGGATCTGACCCTCACTGGGCCTCAAATTCCTAATGGGAAGGGGGTATCTCCTCCATCTTTAAAAAATATCTCTCCAGGGGCACCTGGGTGGCCTTCGGCTCAGGTCATGATCTCAGGGTCCTGGGATGGAGCCCTACATCAGGCTTTCTGCTCAGTGGGAAGCCTGCTTCCCCCTCTCTCTCTGTTTGCCTCTCTGCCTACTTGTTATCTCTCTCCCTGTCAAATAAATAAATAAAATCTTTAAAAATAAATAAAAAATAAATAAATAATACCTGGTTTAAAAAAAAAATCTCTCCAGCTCTAACATTATACTTCCCTCGGATGTCCTCTGGGGCTAGTCCACTCAATGTGTCACTTTTAGCCACTCATAACAGCCTTGGGAAAGTTGACATCTGCATTTTTCCCCACCACCGTGAAATTCCAATGGCTCTTCCTCCCAACATAGAAGAGTTATTTTGGGCCACGGTTCAATATAAAGCTTTGTTCTCCTAGCCCTTGTGTGTCATCACCAGCTTGTCGCTACAGAATCCCCTTCAAGACACCTTTGCCTTCCGGAGCCACTAACTCCAAGGGGAAGTTATTTATAAGCCTCTGACGGTGCATAATTGCTGATTGCGTCTGGCGGAGGGGTTGTCAACAAGTAGCCTTCGCTGGAGACTGGCTTTCTTAATGCCAGCAGATGTGTCAACTGTCACTTTGTTGAGACTCTGGGGAAGGTCTGTTTTCCATTTAAATGTAGCCCGAGAACTCAATGGAGGTGGTGGCAGGGATTGTAAAGCAAATGGTGAACGCCACCACTGGCCTATGTCCTGAGGCGTATTCAGGTAGGCCTGGCGCTCTCAGTCCTTGATGGAAGGGCAAGTTCTGATGAGCCGGATTTTGTGGTATCCAGAGGTGTGGGCTTGGAACCAGACTGCCTGGGTTCAAAGCTCAGCTCTGTTTCTTCGAGGGGCTACAACCTTAAGCGAGTTGCCTAATGTCTCCATGCCTCACATTCCCCATATGGAAAATGGGGATGTTGTGGATTTAAGTGAGTTATTGTGTGTGAAGTCGTTAACAGTATAAGCACATCATAACAGCTCAACAAAATGTAGGATGTTGCCGTTATTAGTATTAGGATTCCAGGCATAGTGAGAGCCCCCACTGGCCTGAAGAAATAAGGATACCACAAAGCAGTGGTCCTTAAAGAGCGGTCCCCATCTTTATGAGAGAGCTTGTTAGAAATGCAAATTCTCAGACCCCACCCCGACCCACTGAATCAGACTCTCTCAGGGTGAAGCCATAAATCTGGGTTTTAAGAAACCCTCTGTGTGAGGGGCGCCTGGGTGTCTCAGTGGGTTAAAGCCTCTGCCTTCAGGGCTCAGGTCATGATCCCAGAGTCCTGGGATCGAGCCCCACATCGGGCTCTCTGCTCAGCAGGGAGCCTGCTTCCTCCTCTCTCTCTGCCTGCTTCTCTGCCTACTTGTGATCTCTGTCTGTCAAATAAATAAATAAAATCTTAAAAAAAAAAAAAAGAAAAGAAACCCTCTGTGTGTCATTAATACACAATGTCATCTGGATGGCATCCCTCCCTCCCTTTCTCCTAACTGGTCATCCCCTAAGATGAATGAAAATGGCAACATTCCCTGTGTGACTTAGGGTGGGCCTTTTCCTTTGCCTGGGCCCTTGTCTCCATGGTGAAATGGGTGAAAATACAGGGCTGGTGTGGGGAGTAGGTGATATTAGGACTATGACAAGCCTGAATGGCCTCTCCCACCTCTCTTTTGTCTTCCCAGGTTACTTGAGGAAAATGTCCCAGGGACAAAAGGCAGCCCCAGCTGATTCCAGCTTGGTTCACTGGCTTTGGAAACATGCAGAGAAGAGAAAGTGAAGAGAAAAACCAACGGAGATGAGTGACTGGGTGGCTCTCAGAAGGCAGCTTCCTCATCTCTGGGATCGAGTTCCTCCTAGCCATTAATAAACATGGCGGCCAAGGGCCTTCCATCCAGATGACTGGGGGCAGAGGAATGGTTTCTGAATGATCAAGACTCAAATCCTGGTTCCAGCTGAGTGACATGGGCAACTTGCTGTACCTCCCTGAGCCTTTCTGTAAGACAAAAATTATCATCCCTCCATTTAGGTGGTGGAGACAAGGAAATGAGATCTCTGACCAAGAGGCCCTTCTTGAGCACATACTGTGTGCCGGCTCTGCAGACAGAAAGGTGACAAGACAGAGGGACACCTGCCCCTGTGGAGCAGATGCTCCAATGAGGGAGAGAGATATTCAGCATCCAGTTACCAAGCTAATTACCTTACTTCAGCGGTGATCCAAACATGGTGGCAGAAGAGGGACTCACTCTGATGCGTGAGCTTCGAGACAGGTGAGGAAATGGTAACATTTGGTCTAAGAGCAGGAACTCCGCAGGCAAAATTCCAGAACCCTGAAGTCCGCCTTGAGAATGCTGAGCACTAAGAAGCAATAAAGGATTTTCAGCCGGGGCATGAAGTGATAGTAAATCTGAGCTTTTTTGAAAAACCCTCTTATTTAATAAATAAATAAATAAATAAATAAATAACAGACCATACCAAATGCTGATGAGGAAGTGAAGCCACTAGAACTCTCTGGCAGGAACGGGAAATGGTAGGACAACTTTGGGAAGGTTTGGCAGTTTCATATAAAATTAAAAGTACTTTTATTACCATCTAATCCAGCAGTCCCATTTTTAGGTATTTACCCAGGTGAAATAGGCCGTATGTTCACACACACACACACACACACACACACACACACACTGGAGGCCGATGTCCATAGCAGCTTTGTACAAAATCACAAAAACCCAGAAACAATCCAGATGCCGCCTGACTGCTCAACAGAGAAACCAAAAGGCCACTGCTAAAGAGTAAAAAGAAACAAAGTACAAGTCCATGCAGAAACATGGCTGAGTTTCCTGAGAAGGCCATGTGAGAGCAGACTAGCCAGCACCCACTGTATTGTCATAGTCACGTGCTATTTGAGACAAGCCAGAGCTCCAGATAGAAAACAGATCAGTGGTTGCCAAAGGAGAGGGGGAGGGAGGGGCACAGGGAGACTTTGGTGGGGGTGTCATGGAACTGTTCTATATACCTTGATTAAAGTGATGGTTATGGGACCGTACATGAAAAAGAGGGAATTCTACTGTGCGTGAATTATGCTTTTTCTTAAAAAAAAAAAAAGTATTTGTTATAGAAAGGAGAATAGTTAGGGCTGGGGGACCATTAGAAGGCTTTTGGGGGTCAGGTGTCAGAGATAAGAGATGACAAGCTTGTGCTCAGGATGGGGCGATAGGGATAGAGAAGCAGGCAGATCGGAGAACTGGTCCAGAGGTGAGTATATACACAAAGTGCCCCACAGCATAAGGATGGGCACCTTACCTCTCTCCATGTCATCTACATGAGCCGTATGTATATATAACTTTCACATACGTATCTGCAACTCCCGCCAATCACAGCATGTTATGGCCTTGCAGTTTCACCAGGGGCAGTGGTCAGGTGCAGGAACAGAGGCATCACTGGGGGCAGAATGGAACAGAGACTCACAAGATGACAGTGGGGCAGGTTGGAGTCGAGACACATCTATGATGTGAACAGGGTCCTGAGCAATGGCAGCAGTGGCACAACCAGGCCTGTCAGTGAATAAAGAGACCCATGTAAGGGTAACAGGTGATCCTGACAGGTCTGTCCTGGGCTGTGATGACCCCTCCCTGTACCTGCTTATATATCCCTCTCCCCTGAGTATTTGAGCCTCAAAGCAAAGCCATGAATCATGGTTCAATTCTCAGGTCTAATTATTTCCTTGGATGACATTACCCTGTCCCTCAAATCGTGGACACAGAGTGAGTCTTGAGCAGTAAGACCTGGTGTAGGAGTCATGGGACCTGAATCATTATCTAGTTCTGACCCTCTGACTTGGAGTGACTTATTTTCATTCTCTGGGCTTTGACGTCTATGTTTGGAAAATGAACTGGTTGATCTCTAAGGACTCACCCAGCCTTTAGAATAAACAAATTCTACCCCCAAAAGTTTTTGTTTTGCCCATCCCTAATTCCAAAATGTGTGTTAAAATATCTTACCAGAATGAACAGAGCAAGATAGAATGAACTGATTAGGAAATTGAGATGAAGGAGGCCAAGGGTAGGATTAAAGGCTTGTACTTTGCTAATGATTAACCTTATCCTTGACCTTGGAGATTGAATTTATCTCCAAGATTTCTAGCAGCCAAAGCAAAGAAGCAATCAAGATTCATTAGATTAGGGGCACTTGGGTGGCTCGGTCAGGTAAGTGTTAGACTCTTGGTTTTGGCTCAGGTCATGATCTCAGGGTCCTGAGATCAAACCCCATGTCGGGCTCTGCACTCAGCTTGGAGTCTGCTTGTCCCTCTCCCTCTTCTCCCCCTGCTCGCTTGCACATGCTCTCTCCTCCCTCCCTCTTGAATAAATAAATCTTTTTAAAGAGTTACATTAGATCAGAACTGTTTGGTAGAAATTTCTGTGATGAAGTCTTTGATAGAGTATTCTATACCTGGCCCGTTCAAACGTAGTAGCCTCTAGCAACACGTGGCCATTGGGAACTTAAATTGTGGCTAGTGTGACTGAGGACTGGAGTTTTAAACCATTACTTAATTTTAATTAGTATAAATTGCAGAAGCCTCTAGTCATAGGTTTCACACTGCTGTTGTATCAGAGAGTGCAGCTTTAGATAATTTATGGTGTTTTCTCAGAGTTCCAATTCTAAATTTACTGTCTCAGTTTCACCCCTCATTGCCTGGTCTGCCATACTGAAGGCAGACCTTGCCATTATTTCCCCTTTGTCAGCTGGTACAATGTTATGTTTTGTCACTAGCGGCAAGAGCAGGACCCTGAAGGAGGAAGGGGTTTCTCTTCTTGTTTCCAGCCCACTCTCCAGGGTAGGCTTCCACAGCTTGCCTGGTTTCTGCAGCCAGGCTCTTGCAACACCTGCAGCTTCTGCAGGTGCCAGCTCCCCCAACACACATGGCTTCTCCAGTGTCTGGCAGCTTCTCCAACATTCAGCCATGGAGAGCAAGCACCAGTCCCTGCAGGGCTCCCGGAGACAAGCAGCTTTCCCCAGGACCTCTTCAAGTGACTTCAGAGTGGAAGGCCACAGACTAAGGACCTCCTTGTGAACAGCCTCCCCTAGCAACCCCCCTTGGGCAACTTTATAGCAAGTTCTAAGGCATTGCATCTCCCGGCAGATGGCTCCCCACTAGGAACCCCAGGGGCAAATGTACAGCAAATCCTGCAGGTGCAGGACTCAAAGACTCATCCACTCTCTCCTTGGCCCTCTCCAAGGTCTGAATCAGAGCCCTAGGGCTGGGAGCCTTTCCTAGGGCACTCTCTTAGTCCCAAAGGCAGCACTACCCTCAGAGCCTTGTATCCACTCTTCCAGTATTCTTCACGGTTCTGTCTCACTAGCCAATTCTTTGTTACTCCGATCTTCTCCTATAGTTAATTTTATATTAAACTTTCTCTGTTCCAATTTCTGTGTAGTTTTTATCTCTCGATTGGACTGTGGCTGAGATAGGAGTAGTCTCTGGAGACAGACCTATAGAAATGGGATTTGGGTGTTGATGTGGTCATGCCCTTGGGCTTGAGAGCAATAATGAGCTCCTCACCACTGGGAAATGGGATGCTAGTGGTCCACAGCAAGCAGCGCTGATTAAATAAGCTATCACCTGTGGTTGACTGTGATGAAGAACCCATTGAGACAAGCGCCCGGGGAGCCCCGTGAGACACTTCACTTGACTCTATGGCCATAATCATGACAAGAATGACTAGAGTGTGGGATATATTCCTTCAAGTGGACTGGAATGCTTACAGAGGGAAAAAATGCCAAGTTCAGTTCAAACCATGGTCTGAGAATTAAAAGGATAGAATTTAAGTGGATTGAGTGTCCGACTCTTGATTTCAGCTTAGGTCATGATCTTAGGGTCATGGAGTCCAGCCCCGAGTCACACTCTACACTAGGCTTGAGATTCTCTCTCTCTCTCTCTCTCTCTCCTCTGCCCCTACCCCCTCTAAAAAAAAAAAAAAAACAAAAAAAAAAAACAAAAAAAAAAACAAGACAAAAGAATAGAAGTTAAAAGAATGCTTTCTTTCCTAAAGACATAAGGTTGATATGACTAAAAATAGAGAATTTAATTTTGTGAGTGGCTGAATGTCAATAACAATTGAATTTACAGCTTCATTGAGTTGTTTATGTGAAACTGGATTGGGAAAGAAGGGGATCATAAAATGGGAAAGGAAAACATCTGATCGAATCCATTTGAAACCTACAATCTTGAACCCCTGTGTCATTCTGAGTACGCATTATCAATGGCAGGAGCTTTCTCCCTGGTGTATTAGGACACTAGCACTTTTTTTTCTTGAACCCTGTAATAACTTCATCTAAGGCAAATGTCTTGAGAGGATAGGCTCACTCTCCTCAACACCCACCATGACCACCCCTAGTTGCCACTAAACCCATTACTAGGGTTAAATATTAGCGTGCTTTATGGAGACAGGTACACATGATGACCTTGGAGGAGACATCTTAAATATCCAAGAATTATAAAATTGTGGTAATATTTATCAGCGTGAATCTGGGATCATGCATGGGTCTGGATTTGAAGAGTGTTAGACCAAGGATGGTGGACTGTAACACTACAGTGAGCAAATTCATTGATGTAGATGAACCTAATAGAGAATCCAGAGTTATTACGTTATCTCATACCCCTGGAGGTATCTCTAACTGCTCACTTGGTGATTGACTGAAACTTGAACTCAACGGTGACTTACATTTAATGAAATTGAGAGGCCACAGCCTGGATTTACACACATAGAATTATATGGAAGAAGAAATGAAAAGATGTGGGGATATGAGAAGGTTTGATTGGATTTGTCATGTACAACCTGCACACCCACCCACCAACTGTGTTCCATGAGAACACCCAGAAGACACTCCCTTGATTAAGGCATTAAGAAATACATTTGAATTGTTCTTGAAAGCTCTGTGGTTGCCCTTTTTGAATGATAGGTTCAACTATAGGGAATGTCACCATTGATATGGGCTCCCTGATTTCAGTGAAAATCATGGGATCCTGAAGTAGAAAAGGACAAATGGCATTACTTAACTCCTGAAGATCAGGTGGGTATATCTAATGGTGGCAGGAATGTACCAATAACTAGATGTCTTGGTACACAAAGATCTTTGGAAATGGCTAATCGATCATGGAATCCTAGGGATGAAACAGATGGACACCCTAGTAGGGAACTGCCTGACTTCTATAACAGGAAAAGACTCTCGGTCTGGTAGCCAAAAAATCTGACCCAGTGTTCACAGTAAAGAGTCATGGCTCTCATCCAATTTTGAAACCTAGGTCAATTCACAGAGTAAAAGCCCTTTGATTGAAGGAGCGGTGGGGTACCCTTGAAGAATGACTCTGCACCATTGCCTCAAATATGCACAGTAAATCTTCCTGTAAGAGTTCCCCAAAAGGACTGGCAGTCATTTGCTATAGTGACTTTTTTAGGAGGAAAAAGAAAATTTCAGAGATAAGTAGATACTGGGTCTGAGCTGATGCTTATTCAGAGACCCAACCACTGCAGCCCAGAGTGGGGTTTACGGTGGTCAAATGGTAGAATCTTAGCTCAAGTCAGAGTCACAGTAGACCCAGTTCATCCACAAATCCATCTTGTACGTTATTTTTCCGGCTTCTAAATTTATCGTTGAAATAGACATAGTTGACAATAGGCAGAGTCCTCATACGGGCTCTCGGACCAATGGGAGGAGGATCATTATGGTAGGAAAGACTGAGTGGAAACCCTCAGAATGTCCCCTTTTGTTGCTGTGCCAAACCAGAAGTAATACCACCTCACTGGGAAAATTGCAAAGACTGATGTCACTTTCAAAGACTTGAAAAAAGTAGGGATAGTGATACCTATCATATATCCCAATGAACTCACCAGTTTGACCTATGAGGAAATCAGACAGACCTTGAAAAATGTGAACTCTTATAAATATAACCAGTGACACTTCCCATGGCAATTGCTGTTCCAGATTTAGTATCTTTAACTGGAACACATCAACATGGCCCCAGGCACTTGGTAGGCAGCTGTTGGATTGTCCAAGGTCTCCCCACACTCCAGATCAACGTGTACAGATAGCTAGAAACAGTTTGCTTTACTTAACAGGGACAACAGTCTACTACCTTCCCAGTTGTGCCCTATGAATACACAAGTTCTGTTCTCTGCCATAAACAATGATCTGTAGAGATCTTAATTATTGTGATATTCCGTAAAATGTCATACCTATTCACTGCATTGATGACATTTTGCTAATTGGATCTGAGCTCTTTTATTCATTTCATATTTTTGTTTTATATGCAAGTTTTTGAAACTCAATCTTACGATTTGGTCTTCCGATAACAGTATTCAGTGGGACCATGACGGAACTGGGGGACAATTAATATAGCTAGCAAGGGATACAATGCCTGTTGGGGATGGTGCTTCTCTTT